GTGAATTGTATAACTCACAACAATATAATATCTTGTCAAATGCATATAAAATTGTGGTAGTGACGAAGGGAAAAGAAAGATCATTCTTTAGATGAAACTCCGAGTCCAAAACTGTGAAACTAAACTCCACCCAAAACAACATTATATTTCACGTGATACTTGTTGAGAAGACTGAAAGGACTCATATTCAAAAAAAAGTAGTTGGAGCAGTACAGTGAATACCAGTGTATCAAACGAAACTCAAAATCATTGTGAGACAAAAGCTTCCTAGTGACTTAGTTTCTAATCAGATTTTTCAAGTTATTTTACCAGATATTGGGTTGTCCAAATGAATTACATATTTTTGATGAAATTTACTATAAAAATGAGGAAAACATGTCGAATGAACCAAATCACGATCGGACATCTGATGCTATTTCGATAGATGCTGTTTTTTCTAATGATCCACTATTCCCCAATGAGATTCTTGATAAATTTGAGGAAAATATTTCAGAAGGATCAATTCACTGTGATGTCATATCAAACGTTATTTGTCCTCATAATGTATTTGTTTCTGGTGGAAAACTTGGTCAATGTGAAGCAGAAGTTCTAAGTGAGTTGAGTTCGTATAATCTCATAACAAATGTTGTTTATCTTCATGATAACTGCACAAATCACAGAGTAAATGATGTAGGAACAATATTACTATGAATTGAAAAAATTAGGCATCCAAGATACTATTCAAGTGAATGCATATTTGCGATAAAAATAACATTGCCAAGAACTTGAAAACTTAAAATTTAGAGGTAGACATAAAATAGGTGATCCTTCATCACTGCAATCAACTTTGCGCCATGTTATTCGAGATCTCTAACCATCGATAATGGTAATCACTATGCACGAGGCATACCACTTCACAGACAAGATTAAAACGTTACAAATGCTACAGGATTTACTGTATTCATTTACTCAATTATATTTTTCTATTATCTGACATATCAGTCATGCAAACAAGGGGATAAATTCCCGTGCATTAGAACATGAACGGCGTGGTCACATTGCCTTTTGTATCAAATATACTACTCTCCTCCCAGGCTAGATGTGTTCTTCAGAGATTCTAGACGTTGTACTTGTTTTTATTAGATTAATTTCAGTGCAAGTGTATTGCAGTGAGTCAAATAGAACACGCCGGAAGTAAGGAGACTGAAGATATCACAGGTTTTCGGAATTTGACAACGCTTTCACCAGTAACACCTATTATGAATCGTGCCCACCAGGTGAAATCAAAAGATAGAAGTAAGGAGATTCGAAGATATATTTGATAGATGGATCGACTAATCTGGCTAGCGATTGTTGGAGGTGTTGAGCACGAGTTCCCACAAGTGATCTGGTGCGGATGCATGACTGAGCACCTTCAGCTAGGTGCGTCCATTAAAACTAATGTGGATTAAATGTCGAAGACTTACAGAGCTATTTATTTTGGGAATTTATTTACTGCTACAAGACTAATTGATTAGGAACTCTATAAATAAACGCAATTCGAGAGATGTAAGGGTTTAAAATAATGTATGTTTCTGAAATGTAAGGAAAACACTGTGTTTGGGTATAAAATTGAATTTTTCATGGCAATTGTTATAACTCTATTTGCATTATAGCTTTAGAGTCGTAAATGGATTTAAATTAAGCGTAATTGCCTAGTTTAGCTTGTAGTAAGGTTTCTCTGTAGGAAGTGAAACCATCTAGGATTTACAAATATCAGTCAAAGAGGTTTTTGGCACTGGAAATTAATATTATTACTGTTAGTTAGTTACATCCCACTAGACCGTATGAGGCCGTAAGTTATTAAAATGTTCTGCCCTTCAGACAGGGGAATTGAGATTGTCTTCCAACATCATGTTTACTGGCCAGGAAAACCATGTAATTTCTTATTAAGATTAGACAGTCACATAGTGGGAAATATACGATTGTAGAGTAGGTCTGTTATTCTGGTAGCATAAATAAGTGTACTAATACTTACCATTATCAATTTCAACAGGCTCCATTATGTTTATTGTACTTTTGAATATTGCTATAATCTAATCTCTTTGATGCACACATTGTTGAAATACATTTTGCACACTAGTTTCACATGACAATCAAGTCAGATAAATTAAACTTTCGTATCATTCAATGTATGACACTCACATGAAATTAGGTAAAGGTAAACATCATAAGATGCCGAACAGATAATACGTAGTTAAGCGATGGTAAGGACAGATAACCTATCATAGATTAACAGAAAAGAGTTTTGGGTTTCAAACTTTACGAGTAAGACGATAAGTAAGGAGAAAAACAAAACACTTGAATTCCAATGAACTTCGGACATTAGAACTTTTTTAAATGATTGAACACGGATTAGAGGGGAAACACAATAAGTTGGGGTAGTTTGAGATTTTTGTGATTGATCATAGGTGATCAGCGTCCACAGGTTAAGTGAGTTATCTGTCCACTTGAAATAGGAGCTAAAAAGGATAAGGAGCTTCATGGAATAAGTGACGAAAATTTAACCATTAAAGAAATTCCGAACTTGAGTTTAGGGCGTAGGAGCATAGGGACATGGCCAAATAGCAAGAGTAGAAAATCATTGTGTTTTGTCATTTGGCCTTCCAAGCTTGACTGAAGTTTAGGAGGCCTCTGAGTACCAAAGTATGAGAATTTAATTTGTTTGCGCGTCGCTAACAATCCTATATATGAGCTGCTGTACCTGATGATTCTTCAGAAATAGTAAATATTTGTAACAAATTTGGTCGACACAACTCCATAACACACTATCGCAATCGTCTTTTCAATTTGACGCGAATGATTAAAATGAAAGAAATTATGCCCTGAATATTGTATCTGTAAATGTTGAGTACATTACCATAATACATTATCTCGGTTACGTATTCAGAAAAGGACTACAAAAAATGCCTTAATCTGTACTTACAGTGTAGATTCTTTATACAATAAATACAATTATGTCAACTACCTGGAGACCAGTAACAGGTAAACACCAAATTAAATGCAAAATTTTGTCTGTTTTATACAACATGTGTTGTATTCGGTATTTATTCCTAAAAGTTCAATATATATCTTCGAACCCCCCTGCTTCTAACTTTTGATTTCACTGGGTCGGCACGGTTCAGTTTTAGTCTGTTACTTGTTAGAGTGTTGTCAAGCTTCAAATACCTGTGGCATCTTCAGCATCATATCAACTTCACCCTCACTGTAATACTAAATCAGACATGTGACACAAATGATTTCCTGAATTGTTTTGCTTCAGAGTTGTGTGGAATAATAAGATAGTCTATAGATGCGATCATGTTTGATTGATCGCACAAACTTGATGCAAAAATTTCACTTCTAAGCCGCTTAAAGGTAGTAACATGACACACATATCTTTTGTATGCAAAAGTAGAAAAAATGTCACCCCGATATGCATTCACCGATATTGCCCCAATTCAACACGAATGTAAATGCATGTTTTTCTGAATTTCCCGAATAAGATCAGGCAAAAAAGTTGTTCAGGGAAGTTAAGATACTTTCAGACATAACGCCGTATCAGATAATGCCAGGAAAATTTAGTGATCGACCACTACCATCAAGAACCTAAACGCATTCTTATCCTGAATGTTACAAAATAAAGTCTGATAGTGAAAGAATCTCTGACTTTACAAATATTCCGCCAAAGTGCCCCGAATCGCTTTAAATACAGAACTTATAAGGAAGCAACCTTAATGTAAACGATGTCCTTTCTTCTAAAAATGTTGAATCGATCTGACCATAAACAATTGTGCTGATGAAGACTCAAATAGTGCAGTCAAAATTTCCGTCAGTCATCATTAATTTAGGGTAAATGTGAAATGACCAGTGGGTTAAATAGTAGCAAAAGTAATATAACCGACCATGTGCTGGAAATTGTTATACTCGTACCTTGCAATCAGATGGAAGCATGCTTAACAATACCAGATTCTTGCCAAATTACAAAACAGCCTCCTAAAATTGCTGCATATTATCATCTATAAACATAGCGTTCTTTGATTCCTATCAACTTCGCATGTTTAAATCATCGAAGAGATTTTAGTCCACCAAACAATACTTGGAATTCGACTTTGGTATCAGGACGAGTAAGCAACCTTTCCTGACATCGGTCTTTACTTCGAACCGGCCTGTCAGCTGTCCTTCATGTTCGATTTTGCAGTTTAACCCATCACAGGAGTTCCGTAGGATATTGACTGTCTACTCAGGTATGCCGTAGTGTCGAGGAAGCCTCCATAATGTCTTGTCTACGATATCAAATGCTTTCTCGAAATCAATGGAGTTGATGTGAAGTGTTGAATTCCATTCAATCGATTGTTCCACCACACAACCAGATTTTCATTATTGTTAAAATACCTATAAACCTGTTAAAACCACATTTTTAGGAATCCACGAGTTTGCACATGCTTCTCAGGTTGAGAGATGTTCCCCAAACTTCTCCAGAATCGGTCATTGATATATTCAGAATTATTAATCCAGTGTTTGTATAAGCTGACAACGTTTTTATGACAGCATCGAGAGGGGACTCCCATTTTTCGGTGTCGAAATCTGGATTTTAGTGGTTCCAACAAGATAGCATCACCGTAAACATTCAGAAATACCGAGTCAGAAATAATTTTCCCGACTTTTTCATGTGCATCATTGATCCTCATAATATTTGCCCCATAGAATAAAAAGTGGAGGTTGTTTTAAATAAGTAAAGAAAATTTACTGTAAGACACATTTGCCGGAAAGAATCGTGCTATCATACTGCGAAATGATACGAATACTCTTTTCTTCATCAAACCGACCAGTCAACTTTACAACATCACGCCACCATTCCCTAGATTACGGTGCAGCCCCTGGTAACAGAGCGATTGGAAAACATTTTATAGTATCGAATAGGGGTGAAAAGTCAACACACCATCGTAGAATTGTTAGGTCAACGTAGCACTTAGTGGATTATTGTATGTAGACCAAGAACTATGCATCTCTTGTGCTCTCGTTTTCCAATTCCTATAGATGGTTAGTTGCGTTTTAAATTTTTATTGAGTCAAAGACGAAAAACCATCGGCATGGTTTATACGAGGATGTATAACAATATTAATCTGTACAGTTTGCGTTTCTTAAACACAATCCTATTAATAAACGGAATACACCCGTTATGACATTAAATAAGAAAGAAAGATTAGTTCAGTAAAGAGTCCTATTAAACACTTGTTTTAAATTTTCGTTCTTATCTTCACAGGACAGCTGGAAATAAGGGAGAAAATGAAGAAAAACTTTAAAAGTCCGGTTATTTTATTATTATTATTAATATCACAGCCTTTATGCAAATGGTAAGCCATCTGAAGTGCTGTAGAAACATGGTCTACTATTAGCGCTGCTCTAATAATGGACATAATCCAAAAATCTAGATTTGCCATGACGTAACTGCCTAATCTATAAGATCTTACGTGGAAGTCACATCATCGTCTAATCCAACTCATCGTATCTCAACAATCATCAATATATGAGGAGGAATACATTTAAGCTGTAGATAGAACAATATATTTACTATGGACAAAGGTAAAATTGAATAAGTACGACCACGCATGCCAGGCCGAGCCATTTCATCCGATCGATTCGAACTGATTGAATTAATTTGATTCATTCTTCCCGCCTTCTTCATCGTTGGTTTTTCTCCGTGTTAACTATTGAATATCTATTTTCCCAATGGTCTCGTGTTAAGCTTTAAGGATTGTGTGGTTAGGGCCCAATGTCACTACAGTGCACCTACCAACAGCATGATCGTTAGGTTTAAACTTTTGGTTTCTTCTGGTTTCATCTAAGGTTTCTGTCTGCCCCACCAGGAGTAGTGGTGAATAAATTTGAAATATAAACTGCTCTTTAGGTCCTTAACATTGATGCTAATTAAATATACAACAGTCAAAAGACTTGCAGTCACGGTCGCATCAGATCACAGTCAAGACACATCGTTCTGTGCAACTGAACAGCCTACATTTTGTACATAACCGGTCATTGATCGGCGTCTGCTTTCCTTATTCTCAACCCCTAGTTATATTACGTTCGGAATCATTTCAGTGTATTCTTGCCGAATCCTGCGTATCTATCACTTATCCACTAATGAGCCTTAATGTGATTTGATACGCAAACAGTTATATTGTATCTGTTTCTTGTGACTATGTTCTATATGTTTTTTTCATATATTGCAATGCTCTTTGTTTCCTTGAATTTGTTTGTAGTATTTCTGATAAGTTCATTTGAAATATTCATTTATGCAGACTGAACGCAGGAGCTACAGTTTGAAAAGAGCCTTACATTCTACCTGAAATAGTACTAATTACAATAGGCAGTGTATCTCGAAGTATACAAGCGCATAAAAGACTCATACTTGGAGAACTGCGATGATGTGTGTACTGAGGGCCGAAGTTCCCTACAAAGGGAATAGAGTTATTGGAAAGGTGGGAACTACTTAACAGTGACATACTCTCTAGGTTAGTAAAGTATGTCCCGAAGCTAGAGTAAATCACGTTGGCGTGTAATAATAGAGTTGATACATTTTGCAAAGCTGGAACTTTATCCAGCACACGACTATGCTACATGATGTCATTATACAGAAGAAAATAGTTCTGTGACTGAGCTTTGCTTTGATAATTATATCAAGACATTGTAAGCCTCTTTCGATACTATTGAATATTGTCATGCACAAAGAGGTTATTTAAACTGTAGCGGTTGTAAAATTAGAAACACGGTAAGATAGAGGTAGCGTATGGTTCAGAATAATTCATTGATTGATTGCTTTGATCCATACAATTATTTGGACAGTTGTAGTCTGTTAAAAGCTGATTGGGCTCCAAAGGCAATTCCAGACAACTGGTCGATCGACACAACTCTAGTTGTGTAGTAATTAGTACGCAGTTTACCTCGGTTGACCTGACGTTACTTCGTCATTTCACTTTAATTGTTAATGCATATAATGTGTTTATCTACTCGTATTGAGTAATTTGTAGTTGGGAGAGCTTGTATAAGGTTAATAGTCACCTATGTGTACATGTACCCGAGCACCCAATTTTGGAAAAAATTTGACACATTTTGAGGAAATTTACGGAAATGGCACAAAACCCTCAAAATTTCTTCAGACTTGGGGAAATTCCTCAAAATTCCTCTTTAACCTTGGTCAGGGTCATTTGGCTTAGGGGATTTCCCACAAATTTCCCCCAAAGATTGGTGTCGGTCATTTGACCCCAAAATTGGAAGCTCGGATACCCATAGAAATTGCAAACCTCGTTTGTAAAAGGTCGTGCTTACTGTTTCCAATCTTTTTTTAAAATAATTGAAACTGTGGACTGTTAATTGTCAGTTTGGGGTATTTCGCAACCTTGGTGTTTGCCTAAATACTTGAATATCTCAATTGTTCCTATTCAGTCAATATTTGTTCCGATTCATATGGCGACTTTTCAGGCTGCTAGGGGGGATTGGCAATCTTTTTCATTCTTGTGATCCGTATCTTTGTTACAATTGTCGTGCAGTTTATGCTGTTCAGTGCCGCAATCACATGATTGTCAGCAAATGTTTCCGAGTTATCTTTCTTACAAGTAGTTCCTCTAAATTATTTAAATTTCTAAAATTAAATTAAAGATCTAGGTTTCCTTTTGTATACAGTCTTTTTACAAAACTCCCCTTGTATGACATAACAATAATTTGTATTGGTCAATATATAGTAACCCAGTCTCAAAAGATTTAACGAGGTGACTTGCACTCAGTGATATGGCCCCATAATTTTGTAGAGAGATGCTGAGAAAGATTTGTATTGTCAAAGTGCTACAAACCTGGCACAGTAGCAAATTTGAATTTCTGGAATTCAATATTCCATATGGGCTAAAGTTTAGAGTATGAGTCGCTCATCCGGTCATCACCGTTTCCAATTTTAAATACGGTGATTACGATGTGTATTCGTCATGCCTTCGATAGAAGTTCACGGTTAAAGAGGTACAACGTATGAGATTCCTTTGGCAGGACAAGATCTTAGCAGGGACTACTCTGCAAAATCAGAAATGGCTAGGGAAGTTTCAAGGAACAGTAGATTCCTCGTATCCTGTGATAAAGTGGCCTATTAATACCACCTGTTCTAGATTTCTGCAAGACTATTGGCGCGTTTTGTAAGGTAACTTTAATGTATAATGTATTTGAATTAAATTATCTCTTCCTATTGTCCAGTAAAAAACATTGATTAACTCTAAACTTGTGAAATATGTGCTTATTGCCTTCAGTCCAACAAAATTGAAGTTTGGTGGAAATTCAAAGTGTAGTCTGACTAATAGTAGAAGCGTTTAATGCGTTATATAAGCAGAGCTTGAGAGAAACATTGGGATACAAGCATCTCTGAAGTTCCCTATTATTTATTTGAACACATATAGTGGTACAGGAGTGCGCCGAATATATATATGCGCCCCACAAAACAATGGGAATCTGAGAAGAAAAAAAGTGAGGAGCGTAAAAAATAAATAATAATAATTAAAAAAACAGTCAGTCAGTCAGTCAGCTACAACGTAGGACCAGGCACACATGTGCATCGGTCCAGGTTGCCATACCGCATCAACACAACAAGATGAACACCAGATTCATAACAGTGGTTAGGTAAAAGGTGGTAATATATAAGAGAAAGATTGCATATAGAGATATAGTACAAGCAGAAAGAATTGGTTCGTAGAAAGAAGGATATGAAGCGATTTTAATCTCATAGTTTAAGTGAAGACAGGGAGTGTATACACCAACGCCATTGTGATCGATTCTGAGCCATGTCACCAAGAGTCTCCAACCATTGGTTACGATAGTCACGCGGACCCCAACCAAGTAGTCTGCATCTACCAACATGGCTCAGACTAGAAGTTAGTGACTTCAAGCACTGATGCCACGTTTTGGTTTGGCCGCCCCTAACTTTCTTCCAACCATTTCCAATTCCGGATAGCATTGCACGTCGTGGTAATCGGTGTTCAGGCATACGTAACACGTGGCCCAACCATCTCAGTCGATGAAGATTCATAACCTCATCAACTGATTTACCATCCTTTCCTAATACCCTGCGTCTAACCTCACTATTACTTACCCGGTTATCCCAGCAGACGCCAGCAATATTTCTAAGACATCTGTGGTCAAATACTAATAGCTTACGAGTGTCTTCTACTCTTAATGGCCATGTTTCGCTGCCGTAAATTAAAACAGAACGAACTGCCGCGCAGTATACTCGTCCTTTTATTGATAGACGGATATCTCGCCTTCGCCACAGGTGACGTAAGTTGGCAAAAGCCAAACGAGCTTTTCGAATCCGTGCTGAGATTTCGTCCGATACCAACCCATTGGGGCTGATCAGACTTCCAAGATAAGTGAAGTTGTCAACGCGTTCGACTACTTCACTCCCTATCCTTAATTCAGGTGTTAACGCAGACCAGTCCTGAAGCAACAATTTGCATTTAGAGGGAGAGAAGCGCATTCCAAACATCCTGGCATTGTTGCTCAGTGCTACCAGAAAACTCTGCATTTTGTCAGCGTCTTCACCAAACAGGACTATGTCATCTGCAATTAAAAAAAAATTAAAAAAATTAAAAAAACAATAACGAAGAGATTGGTGTAAGGTAGTATAATAATAATAGCAGTAGTAGGGGAACAGAAGGGTACAATCAAAAGAAATCTTTCAGTTAAGGAAGATACAACCACTTTTTATGAAGAAAGTAAAAGAAGGTTACAGCAGAATCGCCACTGGCTTCTATTCTGAGCCATATATGATAACGTCTCTAGCAACTGTTGCACCATCTCTCGGACCCCAGCCAGGCAGTCGTGAAGGACCAACACAAGCCAGTCCTTTGCAGCTTTCTTTCATGCCACGACACCATGCCATATACTGACCACCTCTCCGCTTTTTCCAACCAGTCCCAGAGTCGGCAACTAATACACGACGTGGAATTCTCTGGGACGACATTCGTAGAACATGTCCAAGCCACCGAATTCGGTGTATCAAGATGTTGACACCAATTGCATTATCGTTTCTGTGCCCGAACACACGATGCCGAACCTCTGCATTACTGACATGGTGTTGCCACTGAATGTCAGCAATGCTTCGGAGACAGCGATGATCGAACACAGAGAGTCGTCTAACATCCTCAACTCGGAGAGACCAGGTTTCACAAGGATAGAGCAAAACTGCTCTCACCGACGCGTTGTAGATCTGACTTTTTACAGCCAGATTGACATCACGTAGGCGCCAAAGATGGCCCAGATTGGCATAAGCCGCTCTGGCTTTCACTATACGTGCACTGATCTCATCACTCACACGCCCACCAGCACTTATGCAGCTATCCAGATACACGAACTTCTCGACTACGTCTATCTGCTCACCATCCAGGGTGAGTACAGGATTAGGATCCTGCCAGTCTTGTAGAAGTACTTTGCAGTTCGAAGGTGCAAAGCACATACCGTACCTACGGACATTGATTGCCAACTGATTAAGTGCGGATTGCATGCCTTGGGTATTGTCGCACAGTAAGACAATACCATCCACATACTCAAGGTCGAGAATTCTTTCTCCAGGCGACAGATCCACACCTCCATTACTTACATCCATCAGAGCTGTTTCCAGAATGTCGTCGATGGCAAAGTTGAAGAGGAATGGTGAGATTGGGCAACCCTGCCTAACCCCACTGCTCGAATGGAACAATGGAGAGGGGTGGTTGTATGCCCCCACTCTGCTTGAGGTGTTTGTATATAGGGCTTTTAGGATGTTAATAAACTTCTCAGGCACACCCTTCTTCAATAGACAATCCCGGAGAACAGTCCTGTCCAACGAATCGAAGGCAGCCCTGATGTCATCCTTGATTGCATCCGGGCTGCAATCTGTCGGGGCATAGACGGAGATGACGAAAAGACCGTTTCTCACACCGATTTCTTCTCACCTTGATGGAACTCTCTAATCTAACAGCACATAACCGACTGTTAATGGGAACCCAATTGGTTAATGCTGCCTCAGCTCTAGCGCTCAGTGCGACACCAACACCAGCAAGACCAGACAAAGATGTCACAGGGTCCCCGGATAAGCGCACGCGAAACAAGCTTTTTGGAGCTTAAGGTTGATGGTCCTGTTTCAGCAGTCAGACTTATTAGTATATTGACTGTAATCTGGGAAGTCGGAGCTATTCTGTTTGATCGGTTTCGATCTTTGATCGTTCCAGTTTATGAGAAAAGACAAAAGTTATTTTGTGACAATCACAACGAAATCAGCTTAAGTAATATAATATCAAAAATGCTAATCGTTTCTCAACTGCAGTTTGAAAAGAGTAAACTCGGAAAAACTAAGCTAGTTCCAGACCTACGTATGTGTACCAAGTGTTTACTATTTGTCAAATCTTAGACATAAGCATGCTTATAGACTCTCGACTACAATGGTGTTTCTTGACCTTAGGGTAGGACTCGACTAAATCGAGGTTTTGTGACGTTAATAAAAGGTTTACCAAGAAATTTCGAACCCTGGTCAAGTTAAAGCACATGGCAAACTTATTAAGATTTTCAACCTCAAGTAGTGTTCGTCAGGTTTGTCCACTTTTTTTGTCATTTAACTCAGACATCATCTCAGAGATAACGCTCTCATGATGTGACTTCCCAGGAACTGGTATCTTAGTATGATAATCACTTGTTGACTTGAAATACATAATCGACGTTATAAATACATTGACAAGATAAAGTCTTCCGACCACCTTAGGCAACAATCCAAGCATATTTGGGATGCGATTTTGTCTCTAAATACAAAATGGACTAGTCTACACTAGTACTCGAACTAGTAATAGGAAACGAAGTATTCAAGTGCATTGACCACTTAACTTATTTGAGAAGCCTCACCAGCCTGGGTTTATTGGTTTTTGATGAAATCTCGACGCGGATTCAGTATGATGGGTTTGCGTTTAATGAGCTGTGTCCGTACGCAAACTGAAGGACGAGTTTTATGTTCAGTAGTTCACTCTTCTATTTCGTAGGTGTGAACCATGGCGTTTAAGAATAAAAGATACTCATGGGCTGCCAGTGTACAACCTTAGAAGTCTTCGATTCTGCTGGTGTATTTTGGGACTATCAAGTCGGTTGATAAGGTGGTAAACCATCATTAACTGAGGTAGTTAGAACATGTTACATATACCCAACTACTGTCTACCTAGGTGCCAATGTTTGATCAAGGAGTAAGCTGAGAGCTAGCAATGGTTAAGTCAATTATTGATGTTAGTCTGTGAAATCACTGACTGTTGGACTGAGTCATGCTACGTATTTGGCACCTACCTATTTGGTACATTTGATGTTTATCTTCCCGTGGTCCCTGAATCCCAAACTTACATCTTTTAGTCTTTTTTCTATAGCCATTCATTTCTACTACTACTATCATTAATTCTACACCATCGTATTTTTTTCGATAATTTTATTGCGTGCTAAATTGGTGTAGCTATTCGAACCGGAGCACATATTTTAGGTTTTACGTTATTTTATTTCAACACATAGATATTGGTACAAAGAGGCACCAAATGCATATGCGCCACACAAATCTCATTCGATATGTGTGAGGGCTGTGATACTGCCCGGGTGCCCAGACCGAAGCAGGGGTTTTACGTTGCTTATGACTGACCAACTAAATGTTTTCTAGAGACTACATTACTGAAGGAACGAACAAGCAAAACTCAAAAACATTGTGATTGACTGTTTGTTTATTACTGAATGCAATGCATTCGTCCAGTTTGAATTTTATCAAGGGGATTGATGTTACACATTTGGTTTGCATCATTTTGTATTAGACATTTCGTTCACTTGTGTGATTTATTTTTCAGACTCAGTTCCGTAAACTGGTGGTGGAAATTTATTTGGATCAATTTCCGGCGTTCACATATGAGATTATTTTAATTTTCGATCGGATTACTGGGAAACGGCATTTTTACTAGTCATCAAGTCCTTTTTTAATGCCTAGAATATGCACACTAAACTATATTATTCTCTGTTCAGGAGTTGTCATAACGTGAGAATCATGTTTCAATATAAAAGTTTAGTATTGCGTTGATATTCCTTCTTAGGTCGAACCAGTTGGATGAGAAACTTTTTCCTTACTCAAAGAGGTCTAATGGTTCAGTTTGCGTAACGAAGGTTAGCCACCAAACTTTTGATGCCTGTTCTCATTTTAACTTTTCATTTTCCGACATTCCAAGTTGATTTATAAGTATATCCGGAGTGTGATGGTAATCTAAGGGTCATTAGAAGTGAAATAAATTTATAAATCACAAAAATCTTCGTTCGTTTTTAGTAAGACTATCAGGTCAACAGTGCTAAAATTCGACTCCACTTGTAGAAAAATCGGATGATTAGGTTATAGACGTTATACCAAAAGAGATAGGTAAGTCATTACATAATGTTGTCTTAAGTATGATAAAGTGGAGTTTGAAGGTAGCCAGATACTACGTAATGTCATGAAGTCGATAATTGCCAGCTTGTTTTAAACACAGGTGAAATTTTCGAGAACGTCAACTAAAATTGTTCAACCACAGTGACAAGAAGTGGATGCACCCCTAATGTTCATGGGATATTTTATCAATTTTCGACTCATTGATTATTTGAATACTTTAGTATCTTTGCACCTTTTAGTAAAATCCCAGTTCGCCACATTTTTCTTTCTAGATTTTAAACGTAATGAAAATCTAGTTGTTTATGCTTCCGGCATTTGGTTTAGTTCATATAAATTTTCCAGTGTAATCGTAAATACGTGAAACGACATCTACAATTGTCTATGAATTAAGTTTTGAGACTCAGTGGGTTCGGTACACAACTTTGGATGGATTGATCAAATGTTTACTCAGCAATTTTTCCTCCATTTCCCAGTCAGTCATAAACATCGTAACACCTGACGCAAGTATGTATCGACCAGTATCACTTTATCACACCAACATAGTGTAAAGAAATTGTCATACTATATAGCAAAAGGTTCTGAATAGTGGTATGATCAATAGTTTAATTTATACAATTTAATCTTAACGTACGTATTTCTTATTATTCGACTGTTTTGACTTTTTTTCTAACAGGATGGAAAAGTAACATGTACAGAAAGCACACATCAAAGCTTGTCAGACCCATTTCGTTGCTTTATGATTTTTAAATGTTCACTAATTCTATTGGCACTATGCAGTCTTGCTATAATTCGTCACAGGCATAAACGTTTAGACAAAAAACTAATGCAGAAAGTCAACTTTCAGATTGCAGCTGGTGTTTAGTATCTTCTCATGAATCGTATCTGAATTTCTCACTGTGATAGTCCTTTTTGTTGATCTTATGATTTTAGTCAATACTGTAACAATGTACATTTGAGAATATTATTTTTTCTTAAGCATCTAGTGAGACATACTTTCTGATGTTTGTTTATTTAGGTGCCTTGGTCATCACGCAGTGTACACTAAATTCACGGATAACTCTCATGTTTATAGGGTGACCTAGTAATAATCTGATTGGTTAGTGTCATTATAGCGTTCCAAAATTCTCATACTTAGAACATAAATCGTGGTGCAATAATTATATTCTAATACATTTAACAGTGTCTCATCTATTAGCCAAACTATTCATGTATACACATCCTACTTTATATAACGTCAAGTTACTTAAAATAAAACTTGACATTAAACTATGTGAGGAATAGTTTATACTTTCTGAGTATTTAAGATAAATTTCGTTAACCTTGCAATAGGTAAACAACCCAGTGAAGATATTTCCCATGGCAGCATTTAAGATAGTCATTTCAAGATGTCTCAGCCATGAGGTCACATACATGATTAAATTATAAAAAAAGTACATTAGATATCCATAAATAAGATTCTCTTGTGTCGAGATTTGTCCACTAGGACTGTGTCATGTAAAATGGGGTTTCTGATGTTCACACTTCTACAGTCGGCTAGTTGTAGTCACCTTGTAGTATTGTATGCCAATTTAATAATCGAAAAATCAAATCTATTACATTCTCCCGGAACTAGTTGAACAGCTTAGCTTACATGTAATGTAGCAGTAGTTCCTCGTGTCAGATTTAGCTTTATTGTTATTCCCCTAAAAATGCATACATCTTAAAAACAACAAAGAGGAGTAAGCAGAGACCGTCTCAATCATGTCAGCCACTTGACTTTAAGAAATGTATCTATAAGAAAAACAAAATTACAATATTCCTTATCACTTGCGATAACAGGCATACGTTAAGATAGATGATTTCGTCACGACTTTTACTAAGAAAACAACTATATAATAGCTTTCATACGTGGTAAAGGGTGAGTATCATATTTTGAGACGGGATAATTTCCGAAGAGCATGGAACTTATTTCCATAGGCACCATTTACCTGTACCCTTCTCCCTCCAGTTAAAAGCATCACTTTAGCTGGTCAATTGTATGCCTATCGTAGGACTAATAAATTAGCTTTGTCAATACCAGTTTTAGTCAGCGTTGTTTTCTGTCACGCCTATTTCAAATAGTAAAGCTGATATCATTTTCAGATAAGTGTTCGTCGGCGTAGGATTTATAAAGGAAGTAGAACTGAGGCAACCAAGAGCTTATAATGTGACTTACTTTCATTTCATAATACGAGATATTCATCGCAACTCAATCGACTGTTATGTAGAATGTGTAAACAAAGTGAAGGGTCACACTCAGCTACCGCTCCATAGGAAGCTTGTCAACCGTTAATGGTATAGGTTACATTAATTTTCATTCTGTAAAGTTGGTTCTGGCTAATTCCATATCTCGGAGAAAGCTTTTGTGTTTGAGAGGAATAAAACGAACTGTTCAGCAGTATGGAAAGCTCTCATAAGGTTGACGAAAGATTAGGTACAAACGTAAGTTTTTGGCATCACAATTACCTGGAATTGCCAAAAACACTTCTAGAAAGAGGGTAATCAATTAGCAACTCTGTTGCGCAAGGATGGTAGGTGTTTGTAGAGGAGTAGGTGAAGCAGAATTCGAACATATCCCTACTACTCATCTTTAACTCAACAGATACTCATCAATGGGATGATAGGGTTCTAAACTTCACTTAGTACAAACAGAATTATACTGGGACTTTTTACTGACCCTAGCTAATGATCGTACAATAGAGGACAATTAGTATAGAGGTGAGATAAACCAGGTTGTACGAAACACTCAAGAGTGTGTCAGCTTTGTAGACCATGAAGTGAAAGATCAGTAGACAACTCAATTTCGTCTCTTAGTATCCGTTAAGATCTGCCAAGTCCGTTGCTATTGGCAGGTTAGAAATCTCATACTCCACCTTAATTAACAGAGGGTAATTCTTGCTGCATGGAGGAACTAATTGATCGAGTTGGTCTGGATGTAAAAGTTACGCGACAATACGCATACACAGAATCAGTTGCCACAGTTCCAGCACATTGTATACTTAGTACCTCATAGTCATAACGATTATGGTCAACATCTTCACACGAATAAATAAATTTATAGTGAAAAGTTGTTGTTACTCTACATATCTTTAACCGCTTCTTTATATAAGTCCGGACTGGACGACCATGCAAGACGTCGAGACTACTCAGTTTCGATCGCTGGAATCCCAACAAAGTTAATTTGTCTGGCACACTTCATCTGTCAAACTGTGTCCGAATATTGGCGAAACTGTTTATAAATAATGGGAAGAAACAAAAGTAGCGAAACGTTTCATTCCCAAGTTACTAGTCGTAATATGTAATATATGTTGGAGGAAGAAGTATGCTAGAAGAGGAACTTTTTCCGCTCGATCTTGATTGAGACTAAGGCAAATTATGATAATTGTTGCGAACTGGATAAAAACAGCACCCGCAAAACTGGTTGCAACATTTGAAGATGTTACTGAAGCTCCGGCTGTTCATTGGTATGAGTATTATAGAGATATATGCGCAGTGAAAATGACAAGCTTACACAAGTCGTTTGGGGCAGTCGGGCAAATCGTTGAAATAGGTCGAACAGTTGTCGAGAAACGAAAATTCAACAGAAGACGTAGTGTTAAAGAAGTGGGTAAGTAGCACTTCCATAAATATACCTCACGGGTCCTTGAAATATACGACAGGTCGTCTCAAAAGAGACTTCTGATGGGTCAGAAACTAACAGACTTCAACGATAATGCCCATTGTACGGGAATATCCGCAGCTGGGTACTACAATATGTACGGATGATTGGAGTGTAGCGTTGCTAACATAGATTTGGTTGTGTGCACCGTGTCGTTGTCCACAAGCGGTATTTTGTGCACCTAACAACTGGAGTGCACACAAACAATATTAAAGTTATGTGGTCGAGGCTGAATGTTCTTGATACTTTACCATGGCTTCAGAGGTCGACTATTATGGAGTCATATGGGTGACTCCCTCTACTGCATTCAATACGATTTCGGAACCTCTTGCTAACCTCAGAAAGTTTTTAAACCATGTAAAAGAAGTGTATCTACTATAATTCCTTGGTTTTGTATAATGTATTTTAACTCTATACTAACTGCTTTCTGATTGGCTGATATTTATCAGGGTCACTTAAGATTTGTTCAAAGATCGTCTATAAATCATAGTCTCGCCATGTTTTATTATTTATTCACGATAATTAAGTTACAGCAATAGGTTCACTCTAATAAGGGTGCGATCGAAAAAGGCGAGTAGCACAAGTGAGGAGTAGAATCTTTAAAATTTTGAAAGCCTTTTAGTTTACTCTACTTTTTCGCCTCTATGATCAATCAAAAAGGTGATTTCTTAGACGTACAATGAGAAGCATATTTTCAACTACGGTAATTTTCTGAATTTGGAAACAATTGGCTACTATTGTTATATCAGTTAAGCTATCTCATACATCGACTTCGAATAGCGATCGAAGAATCGAGGTGGCTTGTTTGGTAATTCGTATGAACTTTTACAGTAGAGAGGTTTAGACAGCCGAAAATATACACTATTTTACCAACATCCTATCGTGTAACTCAACGAACTTTAAATTTGGTAAAGGGGGTCCAGGGGTTGGATCCGAAGTATTTTGCGTAGACAACTGTTAGTAAACACTTGTATCTTCTGGATTTCGTAGTTCTCCAGGTTTCCGCCCCATACAGTGGAACTGTCTCCACATCTGTATTGGAAATTCTGACCTTGAAGTTGGTTGACAATTGTTTTGAGTTCCAGATGTTTTTCAGTTGCAAATATGTTCTTGCTTTGCCGATCGGCGCCTTCACATCTACATTAGACTCACCGTGTTCATCAATGATGCTGTCCAGATATGTAAAGGCTTTTACATCTTCCAAGGCTTCTCCGTCAGGTGTGATTAGATTGGTACATGCTGTGTTATATCGGAAAATTTCGCTTTTCCCTTTGTGTATGTTTAAACGTACTGCTGCTACACTGGTCGTCTTCTCCTCAGCTCATGTTTATCAGTGTATGCCTTTATAGGTGAATACCATAATATCGGGATGGTAACTACATTCGATGTAACAGAATACTCAGTCAGGGAATCGTGTAACCGATGGGCTAATTTTTTGGATTGCTCAATCGTTGAATCACTCGGTCATTAGGTCCGGATTCTGGTTCACCGACTTTGGTTTGGACAGTTTGATGGTATCACTACGTCTTACACAGTGTTACTCAATCTCAAGGCACAAAATTGTAGTTCCACCTAATCTATACTATACTTGGTGGGTTACATTATTGAAATACAACACACCCAAATAAACGCTGGAAATAATATGTAGCGTTGGTTTAGCTTGCTATGAAACAGAATGGTAAGATAGCTAAAGGTAGATATACAATACTGTTGAGCCATTGAGATACTATAATAATATAAGATATAAGTTTGCAGAATAATTCTGGAGTAACATTATTGAAGTCAAAAGTGATAGTTGACTGGATTTTATTCTTAAATATATCAAGTATTTGTACACAGCTCGAAACGATCATGGCAATAGAATCCTAAACCAACAGGTTTGAATTTCAATATCTTGACCAAGGATAAGTATTCCAATCAGCATCAAAACGATTGCAGTTTGGCTGCTTAAGAGTTCCATCGGGGTTCCTTCTAGACTCAAGTGAATGAGTTATTGCTTTGTCCAATCGTGAAAGACCACTATAACGATATTCATTTCCATCTTGATTTAGTTTGTATTTGTAGTGTGAAGTGAAAAACTCCTTGAAGAAGTCATGATTGGCCCATCTTTTGTTGTGCCACCTCCTTAGGTATGCACGGCTTAGATATCTGAAATTTTCTTCATTAGAATGTAATAAAGCCTATAGAGGAAAAAAGTGTTTAGCGAAACAAAGTTCAGTAAACTTATGAAATGTGGATCACAGTTTAAAGTTTTTGACATTTTTCTAAGCATCTTTGAATCAAACGGCGATTATGCCAACCTTTTAATTAAGTTTGATCATACAACTGGGGTTCTTATAACTAAAATTAGGTTCTTATTGTTGTTTAATAACAATTTCTACAGGATTTTCTTAAGTGAGATAAACCTGATTAAGTGCAATTTTAGCAACTTTGTCTTTTATAGACAACTTACGTTGGTAAAAAAAACCCCCACTGTTTATGAGGCTTATATACCGTATGATGAATTGTGGACTCAAAATAGTACATCCATTAAAAGTGAAATGTCACTGAGGTTTATAAGTTAGAGCCGACATTTTTCATGTACAAGTATGATGATGAGGTATATCAAATCAGACTGATACAAAAATCACTGATGGGTCAATATATACTGGGAAAGATATCTCCGGTGTTTGATAACCAGGAAATCTATCCGAGTATGTATGAGAACCTAGGCAAAATTTCACGTCTAACATAAAATTCAACCATTTTTAAAAATGTCTATATATACCAACCTGAAAATTTCGAATAAAAGTTAAGAGTCAAGCTTACTTCATGAACTTCGTTTCAAATGGGGACTATATAGCTCTCAGTGTCATCCTACAATTGCTTGATGTACTGGAAAATGTAACTTCAAACTACTATCTATCAAAATGACTATTATTCTTATCTCCTGATATAAGCATTTAGTCAACATATAGGTTGAGTAGTTAAAGAATTTAGTTTTCCACTTCTTAAATGAAGATTCGAACACGCTCCACAGCATTTCGAGCTGCTGTGTATTATTATTAGTTCACATAATACAAATGTGGCTCAAGACTGAGTACACAAACTCGTAATAGGTAAATGAGTATGCGTTAATTTTTCAAAGTGTAAAACATATACTTCGTTATACGTCATTAGCGTAACTAGATCACTCTTCAAACAGCTTTGCATTTCGAAGATGCAGGGTTAGGTGATAAATATTTACTGTACCACTGAGTGAACTAAGGAGGAAACAATTGACGAAACTAACTTTTAAATCATTAGGTAGATTTGGATTGTATACCGATAGGTTTGTTTGGTTCGGTTCTGAAGAATCCAATAGCTGAGAATCAACAGAAAGACCCCGATGTCTGAAAAATCTGCCATCCGGAAGCAGTCTACAGGCAAGTAAATCAGATTCAGTTGGCAACCCGTTCTCGAAAATGACAGGCTGTATCCGTATAAGATGTTTTATCTCGTATAAATCTCGGTTGACTGATGGAGTATTTTTAACGACTACCCAGTTGTGATTCTAAAAGCATATGAAATAATGTATTACATTACTTTTGTGTCCTTTCCAAGACCATATTTCTCAAGGATGGCTCTCTGGTAGTGAATGACTCCCTTCACAGGCTTTAGCCGACAGACCATATGCAATAAAGGAGGTTCCTTCGATTGGTTGAGCGATTGTTGAGATTCTTGCATTCGGAATAGACGTTTAGCCCATCCGAGTGGATTTTTTTTATCGTCACTCCAAGGGAGTGGTTTTGGTTCCTTCGTATATGACATGGCGTTGTGAGGTAAAGAAACATGAAGTGATCGACAACTGGTCACCAAATTATAAGCCCAAAGTCGGGTCATTATAAGAAGGTAGGTTTATTCTGAATGTGTAGTCGTCTGAGTAGTACGATCTGAGGTGAAAAAAGTACCATACATAATGACCCAGTAGAAATATGTCTAATTCAGAATACAAAGTCGAAGTATCTTGAATAACCAAAGTACCAGCTTATTCTAAGACGCAGGTCTTGGAGAGTATGGGAAGGGCAGTATTTTTTTGTGAACTTCGTGAAGGTTAAATTCAATGAAGTCCTCATCAACAATAAATCCTGTCCACCAAATAAGTTGACCGAGTGGAGAGAGAAACTAAACACAAAGCAATCGGTACCATATATATTCACAGATAATAAACATAGACTTTTATCCTAGTTTCCACAATGGATGCCACTACAAAGAAAATACGTTAGCAGGTCTAGGAACAACGTGGAGACATTGATGCTAAATGCACGACAAAAGGTTATAACTGGGAACGGAACCGGATGACGTATATGATTCAACAAGAGATAAAAGCACGTGGATACTTTTCTGGGACCGGTTCTGAGTCGTCACACAAATGCCAACAATGATTTGCAAATTTCACGTGGATTACGACTGGGGAGCCAACACTTCTATAAATGAACTCCGCCATTATAGGTTGGTCGAATGACTTTCACTAGTGCACTATTTCTCATACTACCACTGTATCAGTTAATATTTCTAGCTGAGTTAATCCGATGAAACACACCGCACGTAACTTTACCTTTACTGTCTGTCAAAAAGGCTCATAGAAATATACGAAGTCTAAAGGTTTGTAACTGTTTGAGAAGTTACTACAATCCCTAGAATGATTAAGGTATCAAGATCCGGTAAGACCACACTCTCTTAATTAAAGGTGTGATTACGGCTACTCTGGAGAAAAATCTCAGAGAATGTTTGATCGAGCTAAAGATTTTGGTCACGAGGGTAAACTATATGGGATAAATTAATAAAGCTCATTATTTTGCACATTATTTCCCACATGAACAAATGCAGACAATACTGACCTTAAATGTCCTAATAAAAAATATGGGGGAATACATTATAAATTTACGGTTATTTGAGGGGACTTGTAGTTTTAGAGAAAGCTGTTTCCACTATAGTGGGACAGACTTAATAAACTAAAGTACGGTAGTAGTAAAAGTGACTCGTCACAAAATCTTATCTCTATAGTTATCAGCTACTAAGTTTAGTTGGGCAAGTGCATCTTTAGAATACCTCATATATTACCTCTTGAAGTCTGGTACTATCCCTCTAGTTGACCATGACCTATAAATGGAGAACTAACTTAGCGCTATAAATTGAGGCTGAATGTTTCAATGGCACCAATATATAGTGGTGAGCTAGTATAAACCAGCAGATTCAATAACACTCACTAGTTGATGTCGTGATGTTTTATTGAGGTAAACTGAAGTGCTCGATATGTTGCACGCCATTGTTGGGTTTACTCTTATCTTTCTGTCATATAGTGACTATAATTTTAGATGGCGAAGTTGGTCATCGTAGGGTTGGTTTCTCAATCCCATGATCCTCTTAGTGGCCCACTGAAGTACTTGTTCCAATAGCTTCATAGTCCTTTTGTGAAAGACGGTGCAGAATCGTTGTTGATATTTAGATTTAGGTGAGTGTATGTCTTGAATAGTGACAGCAAGAGCCTAGGAATCAACATCCCTGGTCACCTCCAGGTAAAGTTAGTAGTAACCATGTAGCAGAAGGGGGTGTTTCTTGACTCTCCTATCTGGGTCATAGGTCTATGTATTCTCGTTGTATGATATTGATTTACGGTGGCACGTGGTTGTGAAGTTGTAAAGAGGTTGTAGTTTAGGTGACTTTTGTAGATTTTGTGAGAGCTCTTCAATACACGTTTTTCCGGGTAGGACAGGTCCAGTTGGTAAGGATTTTATCTCGATGTCCTTGATCATGCGCTGTTTAACAAGGTCAACTGACACCGTAGTATACTCTGTTTGACTGCATAGCTTTTGCCCTAGTCCGCTCGAATCATGGCCTCTGTGGGCTCAATTTGAACTGCCTCTATGCAAGCTGTATTGATAAAGGTGGATATGGGTGTCCTTTAGATACGTGAGGCCGTGTATTTCAGTTTCATCCAGAATACCGGGGAATAGATTCTGAAATATAAGCATAATTGCCATAACCACGGACTTGAGTGACCTAGGACCAACTATGATCTTCACTGCTCAATAAGATAGGCGTTTGTGTGTTGTGATCAGTATTTCTGTAAAGGGACAGTGTAAGCCACGTAATTTCTCCATCACCACGTTTCATTGCTTTAGTATCCTACCCTTGTCAAAAAGAAATCTAGAAAAGATTTCGATAAACAGATTTGGCGAAACTAAATTTCTTCCTATTTCAACGGACAATATGTTTTCGAACTGATAATAAGAGTTCAGTTCTAACGCAGCACTTATATGTTGACCAATAATGTCTAACAGCGTTTTACAAATAAAGTACAATGTTAGTGGATTTATTAAGATTACATTGGTTAAGGAAGATAATTTTGAGATGAAACGTTCATGGAGATATATTATCTAGGCGTTGAATAGACTTGAGTTGTAGTGTAGCATCAAGTCGCGGTTGATCATAACTACAGGAAGACTACGTGCCAGTTACCAGGTTAGATCCCTCTGTGGGCCAAATATCAAAAGGCAATTCAAAGTTGCACTGAGATTTATTTGTTGGCAATCTCGTGGTATCGAAATAATATCGAGATCGTACCAAGGTTTACGGGCAAGACTACTGAGTGTACACGAGTTCGTGCAATGTCACAGACAACAGAAGAATGTGTGTTTTTAGTACAATCAAACAAACAGGTACAGTAAAACAATCACTGGTACAGTTGGTCATAATAATTGTTTTCATTATACCAATTGCGTTCTCTCCATAAAAGTAGGTCACTACAGAGTAATGGGACTATTTCTTGAGCTCGTAATTGTTATTCGTTACCAAGTCATGGCTATAACGATTGAGTATGTCAGGGGTATGGAAAAGGTTGATTTAGAAGATCCACGGCTCTGTGAACCTAACATAAAGCCGAAAAATAAGGAAAAGATAAGCAGCAGTGCGACCAAACAAGGGTTTGTAGGTATCATTACCAAGGTTTGACTTGCTAATTTCAAATCAATTGGGCATTGAGTAGATTGTTATAAATGAATAATATATTCGTAATATCCTAATGAGTAGAAAAAAAACGATTTTCTGACGTCACGTGACTCAGCATAAGCGACTTCCCTGAAGAAGTGGCTTACACTGAATCAGAAAATCGAATTTTTTTATTCATTAGGATATTACAAATACATTATTCACTTAAAACAAGGGTTTGTCTAATCAGTAGATATAGCTCGTACTATTTACTGTCACTAGAACTGTGCGTAGTTAAGGGACAATTATTATTACTCGTTCCCACAAATAACAATGTGTTTTAAAGTATGACAAAGTGAAGTGTGTCTGAATATAAGAGGGCAAGCTAAAGCAAAATATCGAAAAGATGTTTGATGAATTTGGGGGTGTAATAAGTGAAGGTATATTGGTTTGAAAAGCTTTATCATTTTATTACCTTTTGTAAAAGCCCGTACTGGCCTATTATGGGTTACCTCGAGAGGATAGCGAATCTAATATAAGATCGAAAATATGAGTCCTAGAAGCAAAAATCTTTGTAGAACGACCTCAGTATCACTGAAATGTTTTCCTAACTTCATTCATCAACAGCCTGAGACAAGCAAATCATTCAGCTCTACAAACACGGGTGAACTGAAGTGGTCGCACTCATGACCGGTGTTTGCTGATTAGTAGCTTCATACTCCCTTTTTATGATGTTAGGCTCTTTTGAGGTGGATGTTGGAGTGGATAACATGTTCTACTCGACGTTACACGTTTCCTATCTCATACCACTCTTTAACCCGAAAGAAGTGAATATTTTTAATAGGTCTGTGTGTTTTATTGTCCGGGAGGTCTGGAAGTTTACATATCCGTAAAGAGCGAAAGTTGAGGGATACATTATGCTTGTATCCTGTAAAAATTAAACTTAAGGACTAGCTGACCATATAATGTGACATTGACAACGCTATCACATCGTCCAGGTCACAACAAATCACATTTATCCTCATTAAACTTCATTTCCCAGATGTGATGCTAGTTCTACATGTAATCGATGTCAACTTAGGACTCTTCCGTGAAATTAATCACATTATTAGAAGGAGCGAATATAGCCTTGGGATCATTGGTGTAAAAGTAGGGTATTATAGCACTTTCTATGGTCGGGCACATCGTTAAATGAATTTAGGAAGTAGTGGAATAAGTACACCACCTTGATTGGTTTTGATGGCAACAGATATAGATTCATTAGCAGGTGAGCTAACTTTTGCTACTTCGGTTTATTCATTTAAGAGAGAATCAAGCTGATATATCATCGACATTTTTCTACCACAAAATTCCAGTTTTATTTTTCGCAGTCCATGGGGGACAGTGTCAGATGTCGAATTAACATTAATTATCCCCCTTTATGCACCATCAAACTTTCCTGAGCAGAATTAACGTTTGGGCCTACCAACATCTGAGTCTTGTCTTTAGGCTAAGTTTCTTCTCTACAGAGAAGTTGGACTGCATCTTTGTTTATTCGGAAATCTCACAGGCTTGTATGTTATCGAATTATAAAAGATCCGATCGTTTTTCTCCATTTTTCCTAGTGTTAGACCAAAAGCCAGTGTCCAGTTTTCTCTTGTACGTTCAACATGACTTGCCACCAGCATTTCTTCATGGATTGGAGTCAGCAGCCTACTGTCTCTAAAAACTGGTAGGCTGAAGCGTGACGTTTTGCACCAAAGTGACGACCTCTTGAGTGACATGAGCAGTAAGATGTATCGGTAAATGAAGATGGATGTTACGACCAATGTTACCTGTCTGGACGAATGGAGTTTTTGTTGCTTTCGTGTTAAGATGTTGGTTTTTTATCTATGCTTACATAGTCAGCGTGGAAGAATACGGGAGCATCCCAGTAGTTTGTAGGACTAGTGAAATATTACCTCGCACTATTCAAATAAAGCCGAACAGTTTCTGCGTTGGGTAGCTTATCACTGAACGGCTTAAAGTTTATCGAATATCTCCAGCATCATGGATGAACAATTCGGGTTGGCCAGTTACACAGAGTAGACTGTCCCATGAGACGGTGTCCATACTATGCAGCCTCCCCTAACATTTTCCATAATGCAGTAATTTATTAGGATTTCACCTTTTCTTCATGGTTGTCACAGTAGCTGCATGAACTGGACACCACGACGACATGACTACAGACAGATGTTGACAGTGAGACATGACTCCTACCCGATCCTCATCCAATTCAAGCAGCCTCAACACCAACTAATTAACCAAACTGGAGTAGTCACTTCGTGAATCATTTTTCTTTCCTTTGGGTTTTTTGTGCAGCTGCTTTTTGATTAAACTTGTTGGATGTGATAACAAGCTATTGTGTACTCTTGAGGACTCTTGGTTGGTGTTCATGAAACTAAGTATAAGTAAACGAAATCAAAATAGCTGCCTGAATTTTAGAAACAATAGAAATTCACAATACTTTGCCCAGTGTGGGCTTCAAAGCCTGATTTTTTAAGCATGACAAAGGAGTTCTGATAATTCATTTTACCTTGTCAGATGTTGTTTTATTGTGATAAGGTTATACGGAAGCACATATTTGTTCTCCATACACTTCACAACATAAGTATGTTATTTCGCCTTTTTATTTGCTTTCTAACGTTAGTTTACCGTTGGGTTTTTCGTAATGCGACCAGTCAGTTGCAACATTCCGAAGACTATTTATTCTTGGGTGCGCGCTCACAAAAGACTATTTTGTTAATTTCACTTAAACAAAAGGAAGTCCTTGTGCTTTCGTCACTTGACAAGAGGAGAATGACATAGACAAAATTATGACCACTTCTACAGGGTTTTCCGTATGAAGCTTATAGGACTGCAGGTTGAGTAGTAAAGCGTTGTATGACAAATAGGATTGATAGGATAGATCATGAAATTACAGTGCTTGGCTGGTTCCAAAAATGCAATATCTGGCCGGAAAATATAAAAGATCATTTGTGCAATGACACAGATTTCGATTACCATATTGTAACAAATCAAAACTGACAGAAGTTAACCATTATTTGGTTACCATTGAAAGACAATTTACATCTATTAATGAGAATTGAATAAACTGCTCAGGAGAGCTTCTCACAAGAAATGAGGACGATTGTAATGACAAGAGTTGAATAAACTCATCAGCAAAATGCTTTTTATCTGGGATTTCCTTGGTCTCAGAACTTA